CGGCGTGAACTCGATGGAGAACCCCAGGGTCTCCATGTACCTGCAACCAAACGCCTACTGCCAACCAAACGTTTCCAACTCTGACAGCATTCAAGACCTGGAGAGGGCACGTGTGGACGCAATGAGCGCCCATGCAGTGCCGCTCCGTGAAGAGCGGCGTGCCGCGGGGGTTGACGTGGTGAGAGGGCCGGTCAAGATGGTCCGCTTCGGTGACGGCGCCCCCACGGCTCCTTTCTTCCGGAGCAGCAAGTCACAGTTCCACAGCGACGTAAACAGCAGGAGTCGGATCGAGAGCTTCACCGGAACGGACCCTCTCAGCCACAGGGACGCGCATGAGCCGCCCGGCGCCCTCTTCAAGCCCACCCCGAACGTCAACACGGGGGCAAACATGGTAGACGCAAGAGAAGCACAGCTCCAGCACGTCACAGTGAGCACATTCAGGAACAACGAGGCCCCCGTACAGGGTCAGATTGTTGGCCCCGGCATCGGCCTTCCACCTGACGCACCTCCTTCCGGCGGGTTTCACCCCTTCCTCCGCATCCTGCCCGACAACGTGGGGCAGTATCGGAACAACCTGCCAGGGGGGCTGATCGTTGGGGGCCAACCAATCACCGAAGGCCCAACGCGGTACGATGCAGTGCCATCGCACAAGGCTCCAAAGACATCAATGGATGTGGGGAGAAAGAGGCCCGGTGTCGCAACTTCCGCCCCTTACATCGGCAAGATGCTGCGCCCGGACGTTCTCTCCACGATGCAGGAGCAGAGCAGGTCTGTCCCGATCACAAACTTACCAGGGCCGCCGGGCAGGTCGGACGCGAGCGCCACCATCCAGAGGTTCGACGCATGGGAGAGGGACGGGCGCCCCAGGAACGTGGATCCAAACGCGTACTTTGCCTCCTCTGCAGGTGCCAACTATGCAGGTGTGGCCGGCCCTGGGGGTTATGCTGATGGCACAAACACGCACCAGGCAGGTAAGAGGGAGGTCCTTCTGGGCGAGCACGGCTTTGCAAACATGGCATCAACGGTGGGTGAGGAGCACATCGGGCCGATTGGGGAGATGGTTCGGACCAAGGACCCTTCGTCAGGTCTCTGACACTTACACCAAGAACGCACTGAGCATCAATGCTAGCCGTCACGCCACAGCTGCAGAAAAGGGGGAAGTCCGCGATGGTGCCGTGCTCAGGAGCACGCTGCGGTCAAAGGCAGTAGGTGAGGGGTATGCGGGCAATCCGGTAGGGGCCCACACGAGGCAGGTCAAGAGGGATTGGATCGGAGAAGACGGCAGGAAGGTGCGCCAAACAGGACGGGCCACGCTGGGAGACACCAGCTACACTGGGAACAAGCTGGGGCCCAACCCACGGGGCCCAAACTTTGGCAGCATCGAGCTGCCCCCACCAAGAGCAGACCGCTCCCAAGGCCCCGGGCCCCAGGCACGGCTGACTGGGATGATGAGCGCCGCAACAATCGGAGGAGACACAAGGCACAAGCCACCAGGGCTCGTTACGCGAGAGGGGCTCCCTACCGATCAGAGGGTCGCATACTCTCGAGACCTGGGGGAGCTCACCTCTTACAAGCAGCCTGCTGAGACGCCCCACTCGAGATTCTCGGACCTGGGGGTGGCAAAGAGACAGCTTGCAAACAACCCATATGCCCTCAGCATCACAGACGTGTACAGTGGCCGCAATCTAATCAATTGAATTGTTACAGTCTTCGTCCAAAGTGCCGCAGGTTGCTAATGCACCGACCTTACGGTGCGTTTGAATACTGATGAAAATTTCTAGGCGTACAGTATGCTGACCCATAAGCATCACCAGCTCTTGAAGATAGCAAGGAGCGGTCTAGGCGTGCCCCGTTGAATCGCGGCATAGAGACCTCCATCAGAGGGCCCATCTTCGAGCTTCCCTGAAGCGCGATTGCACCCAGTGCAATGTACCAGCGTCGCTTGGATTTGGGCTGGAGGTCTTTGGCATAGCTTGGACACAGCAACGCTCCTTGCATCATAACCTGAAAGCGGACGAGCGAGTATCCAGCGGTACCAGGCACCGTAAGGCGCTTGGCGGCCACTGGATAGTGGGGGCAAAGCCCCCAAGCGAAGCGCCAGTTAACTCTGGTATTATTGCCATTTCGCATGTTTTTCTTGTTGCCTGCGTTACGTCATGGAGGCGACACATTGCGTGCAAATGGTAATAATTAGAGCCACAATACAGTAAATGGAGCACATCCGAGCAGCCAGCAGGAGGGCCTTGAATGCTGGACCCTCGCCGAGGATGGAACCGGGGCGGCAACTGATCAACCGATTCAGCAAGATAGTCGCTGCAGAGCCAGACCCGCCCGCCAGCGCCACGCCCCGTCCGGTGATCCCGCCTCTGCGCACGGTGGAAACGGCACAGGCTGTCACAAGAGTACGAACAGAGGGTCAGGGGAATCTCTTTGACAAGAGTTGGAGATTCATCAGGGGCATTGTCTCCTTCTTCCAGTGGGGCTTGTCCTTTGAGCAGCTCCTCCCACTCTTTGCGTTCACGGGTGTCATCATTGCACTGTGTGTGATGTACTTACGGAAGAGGTCGCGAGATCGCAAGAGCTCGCCGTTCGTGCCAATAGACCTCCCAGCATATTCGCGGGCGGACAGGAACGACCCTTTCGTCACTACATCAAACAAGACGCATTCAGAGCTGGCAGAAGGAGAGGCCTTTGAGTAGAAGAGTGCGGTGTGCAGGATAGACTCAAGTGTGCAAAGGCGGCACTTCAGGGTCCGAAGGGTCCGAAGGATTTGTCCCGATCAGAGGCAGGCCGCGCTTCTTCATGTACATCACGCCTTGCATGAGAGCGTCAGCCAGATCGTCACGCTTCTTACCTTGGTCAAACCGCTCCGAAGCTTGCCCAGACTTCTCGAGGTATTCCCTGCAGAGCTGAACCGCTGCTTTCTTCCGAGCCGCGTATTGCTTCCTCCCCTTGAGTTGCAACCGCTGTTCATACTCCTTGAACTTGTCTCTGGCGCTGAACGAGTCGATCGCCTTCACCTTGCATGTTGCTTCCGCCAGCATGCAAGTGTGAAAGAAAGCCTGGATCGCACCTTCCAGCACCCGCATGACCCGGGCTCTTGGGGGCTGCTTCTCAATAACCACAACGTCTGCAGAGAGCAAGGTTTCGCGTCGGCTCCAGAGGCTCCTCGTGATCATACCGATGATGGCGGGGTCGTTTCCTTTCTTGGGCAAGGTCGTTCGCCCATTGTCCTCTTTCACTGCGTCGATCACCTCCCAGTCGACGATCCGCCCGTCTTCCAAGAGACACAGGGCCAGGTTCTTGTAACCAACGTCAATGCTCAGCACGCGCATCCTCCTGTCATCTCCGGCAAAACAGATGGGGTGTCTCGAGACGCATCACGCCTTCTTCCTCTGCGGAGGAGCATCTCGAGTCTTTGCCTTTTTGCGCCGGAGGAACAGGAACACAGACGTGAAGAAGAGGACAAACCCCACGACACCGGCGGCCACAGCAGGTCGCGTCATGTCATACGAAACCGCGAGTCCACAGCCGACAAAGCTCACTATACACAGCAGGAGGGTGAAGATTGCGCCCAGCTTGGCCATCAGTCTCTGAAGGTGTCGCATAAAATAAAACAGGCACTTAGGAACAGCGGGTGGGGCTCAACAGCAAAGCCATGCTGTGCTGCCAGAAGAGCGTTGAGGCCATGCACCAGAGCAAGCTAGAACAGCTGGTTGCCGAGCGCAAGGGTGACACGCCGGGTGCAGCTGAGGTCGAATATCTCTTGAACGTAGCCCCAATCCTCTGCGAGTACAGTCAGCAACAAGAGCGGAAGGCCCGCCAAGCAGAGGAAGACGAGATGGAGGATGAGAGTGAGATGAGCGAGTGTGTCTTGGATGGGACAATGAACAACTTCATCCAGGTGAAGCGGAAGATAAAGGACCAGGCCACCCTCACGAAGCTGAAGATTGCCACTCTGGTCGAAGACGAGGGCTCAAAGGCTTACCAAGAGGCAAAGACCAGCCACGCGTTGTTGGAGAGCAGGCTCCATCCCGAGGAGGACACCTGCAAGAAGTGCAACGTGCCCTTGCTGGTCGTCGCATCCGAGAGTGACCTCGTGTGCCCAGAGTGTGGCCACGCCCAGTTCTTTACAGACGGGACAAACGGGCTCACATATGAGCAGGAGGTGAACAGGGTGGTGATCCCAGCCTTTGCGTACAAGAGGGCAAATCACCTGTCGGAGTGGCTCGCCCAGTTCCAAGGCAAGGAGAGCACGGACATCCCTGCTGAGGTCATTGACGCCCTTAGGGCAGAGTTCCGCAAGGCTCGGATCACAAGCAGGCACGAGATATCCAGGGCCAAGGTGCGCGCTCTCCTGAAGAAGCTCAACTACAGCAAGTACTACGAGCACGTGCCTTACATCATGAAGATCCTGGGCGTCTCACCACCATCGATGAGCCAAGAGCTGGAAGACAAGATCCGCGTGATGTTCCTCCAGTGCCAGACCCCCTTCATGAAGCACAGGCCGACCGCCCGCAAGAACTTCATCTCTTATCCCTATTTCCTCTACAAGGCCTGCCAGCTGCTCGGAGAGGATCAGTTCCTCCCCTGTTTCCCGCTGCTGAAGAGTCGGCCCAAGCTCAAGGCGCACGACCTCCTGTGGCAAGCAATCTGCCATGAGCTAAACTGGCAGTTCATACCCTCGATGTGAGGCTTAGGGACGATGGTCCGAGCCCGACGCAAGATCTGCCCTTGCGACCCTCGTTTGTAAAGAGGCTTAGGAAATTGCCTCTTCCTCACATAGTAGCTTATCAACGATGGCTAGTCGTGTACGCAAGAGAAAAAGTAAGATCTGCCTTCGAGAAGGGTGCGGCAAGTTATCGCAGGGGGGAACTGAGTACTGCGTAGCTCACGGAGGAGGCCGCCGATGCCAGACCAAGGGTTGCAAGAAGGCAGCAGCCAGAGGCAAGGTCAACCCGAATCACTGCATAGCTCATGGTGGCGGCCGCCGCTGCCAGACAAAGGGCTGTAATAATTCGGTAAAGGGCAAAATCAATCACTGCGTTACCCACGGTGGAGGTCGGAGGTGCAAGACGCACGGGTGTAAAAGGACTGCAGTGGGGCGAACGGACCACTGCACCCGCCACGGTGGAGGCCGTCGCTGCCAAACGGAGGGCTGCAAGAGATCTGCGGCGGGCAAGACAGATCATTGTGTCACCCACGGTGGGGGCCGACGGTGCATCACACGGGGTTGCACAAGGTCTGCTGTGAGCCCATCGGACCACTGTGTCACCCATGGTGGAGGAGTGCGATGCAACACGCCTGGATGCGACAAAGCAGCGCAGGCCGGGACTACCCACTGCATTGCCCACGGTGGGGGGCGGCGATGCAAGACGGAAGGATGTGACAAGAGCGCTCGAGGTATGACTGAGCACTGCATCACTCACGGAGGGGGGCAACGATGTATCACGGACGGTTGCGACAAGGCAGCACAGGGCGGGACTGAGAACTGCATAGCCCACGGCGGAGGAATCCGTTGCTGCGTTTGCTCCAATGTTTCCGTTCACTACAAGGGCGGAGCCTGCTATGAGTGCCGCGAACGTACGGCGCTGAAGCGATGGGAGAAGCAGACGACTCGGTGGTTGAACGGCTTGAGCTGGTACTGCGACGAGACGCTCCCCTGTGCGCGCGAGATGTCCACTCGTACCAAGTCGTGCATCAAGCGCCCCGACTACGTCTTCGTTTTAGAGAGCCACGTTGTAGTACTTGAAGTTGATGAGGACTACCATCGCTACTACAACGTGGCCTGCGAGGTGGACCGCATGGGCAAGATCAAGGACCTCATCAGGCTACCAATCCACTTCGTGCGTTTCAATCCTGCCCAACGGCGCTACCCCCTTCTCGAGGATCTCCTCCGGCATCTCTTTGCTAACCCCAAAGGGGCACAAAATGCTGCAGGAATGATGGTGCACTTTGTAGGATACCCGGAGGAGAGGATGCAAGAGCTCAGTGACGAAGATGAGTTTTGTTATGAGTACAAGGAAGTAGCATAGGATTGGTGGACCATTCGTTGGCATCTTGTATCAGACTAAGCCGGGTGCCAGAGCTTCAACGTTAGGCAGCATGCTGGAGGAAGAGACCGCCGTGCCCCAGCACGTCAGTGGAACCATAAGACCCCTCCATCGGGACGCTCTCCCAAGGAATGAGCTTGTGTCTACATGCCAAAACCTCTCCACAGTACATTCCGAGCATGTAAAATCTTGGATTCTATTAAGATGCCAACGTGCAACCGCAAGAAACGTGATGGCTCCCTTTGTAAGCGTGCATCCATCGGAGGAGGGGCTTGCTGGCAGCACTCTCAGCATGAAGGGGGCAAGCCACCGAGGGCACCCCAGGCAGAGAGTGCCCAGCAACCTCTGGATGCACCCAGACCCCCACCCCTGTTGAGGACCGCAAGCGCAGAGACACAGAAGGCCATCCTCGAACTTCTTGGGGAGGATCCTAAATCTCCAAACAGGCCGTTTGACAGCAAAACAGTGAGGCACTAGGCAATCAGCGCATGCCGCTTGCATTGCGCACGTCGACCCGGGTGGGGCGACCGCCGCGGGGCCCGCTTGACTCGATCACCACTCGCTCATAGATCCTGGGGCAGCCCCTTGGGACAGATGTGCCAACGTTTGGGGGAAACCTCCGCGATGTGACGTCGGCCTCACGAACTGCTTCACGCCCTCTCACATCCTCAGCGTTAGCATGTGAGGGCAGCTTTAAAGAGCTCTCCAGATCCACCAGATTCTTCTGCACAATCCCTTCCCCTCTACCAGCATAGAAGGAATGCTGCTGCAACACAGTTGATGTTGCATGGCCAGGCTCATAGG